TCCCCCAGGCGGGTCTCAAACCCGCGGGCTCAGGCAATCCACTCACCTCAGCCTCCCAAGGCGCGGGATTACAGGCTGAGCCACCGAGTCCAGCTTCAGGTGATCCTTCTGCCTCAACCTTCCAAGTAGCTGGAACTACAGATGTGCACCCACCACACCTGGCTGATATATTGTAGAGATGAGGTCTCGCCAAGTCGCCCAGGCTGGTTTTGAATCCCTAGGTTCTGACAATCCTCTTGCCTCCGCCTCCCAAAGTGCTGGGATGATAAGCATGATCCAATGCACCCGGCCTTCAGTTTTTTTTTTTGAGTTGGAGTCTTACTCTGAGGCCCAGACTGGAGTGCAGTGGCACGCTCCCAGCCACTGCAGCCTCGACCTCAACCTGCTGGTCTCAGTTGATCCTTCCGCCTCGCCTTCCAAGTAGCCGGAACTACAGGCATGTGCTACCACGCCCGGCTAATTTTTGATTTATTGTAGAGATGAGGTCTTGCCAAGTTGTCCTGGCGGGTCTTTATCCTGCGGCCTCAGGCAATCCTCTCACCTCAGCCTCCCAAAGTGCTGGGATTCCAGGCTGAGCCACCGAGCCCAGCTTTTTTGTGTGTTTGTGTGTGTTGGAGTCTCACTCTGTTGCCCAGGCTGGAGTGCAATGGCATGCTCACAGCCACTGCAGCCTCGACCTGCTGGGTTCTGGTAATCCTTCCTGAGTCAAGAACTACAGGCATGCACTACCACACCTGGCTAATTTTTGATTCATTGTAGAGGCGAGGTCTTGCCAAGTTGCCCAGGTGGGTCTTGAACCCAGAGGCTCAAGGCAATCCACCCGCCTCGGCCTTCATTTTTTTTGAGGCAGTTTTATTCCTGACGCAGAACAGAAAAGTCACCGTTTGTGGTAAACCATGATAGTTTCGAAGTTTAAAGAATGAGTGAATTCCTGGGTTCTTTGCCAACAGGAAGGAAGTTTTCCAAGGCCCTCTGCCTGGACCTGATCCTCCCTACTCTTTTTTTGGGTGTTCCAGTTCGAGCAGCCCCGAAAGTCGTCAATGGCAGAGCAGCCAGCGGTGGCGGCAGCAGTAGCAGCAGCAGCAGCAGCAGCAGCGACTCAGAGGAGGAGCAGGCCGCTGCCGTTCCCAAGCAGGTGTGGGCCATCAGTTGAATCAGGGACGAGGCGACCGGGGTGTGAGGCTGGGTGTCTCCACTCCCTGGCAGGATTGCGCATGTTGGGCTTTTCCTGTGCTTACGGATTCTTTTCTTTGCTGCAGACTGTGCCTAAAAAGCAGGGCGTGGCCAAGGCCCCAGTGAAAGCAGCTGCCGCCCCTCCCCGAAAGAGTTCCAGCAGTGAGGACTCCTCCAGTGAGGAGGAGGAGGAAGAGCAGAAAAGACCCGTGAAGAAAAAGCCAGGTAACCGGAAGGGGGTGAGGCCACATGGCTGTGGCCAGGGCTCAGTTGCGGTGACCACAGGGACCTCGTCTTGAGTGTCTTCATGACGTGGCAGCCAGGGTGCAGGACACCAAGGAGGGAGCTGCAATGCCTCGTGTGGCCTAGACGCAGAAGTGACACTGTTCTCCACGGGGGACAGCTCCCCTGCTCTGGCCCACGCTCCAGGGAAGGGAACCGAGCTCCTTTTCTAGAAAGGGGCAGCGTCGAAGGTCTGTGCGCATATTTCAAAATCACACTGTTCTTTTTTAACAGGTGCCTACAGCTCAGTCCCTCCGCCTTCTGCTCCCCTGCCCAAGAAGTCCCCAGGAATCCAGCCTCCCAAGAAAACTGTTGAGAAGAAACCGCCTCCAGCGGAAAGCAGTGAAGACAGCAGTGATGAGTCTGGTGAGACAGGGGCACAGCCTCCCCAACACATGGGGGCTGTGTGAGGGGAGGGGAGTGGGGGATGAGGAAGAGTGATCTCCTGCCTCTTTGTTTCTTGCGGAAGCAAGACAGGGCTCAGGTTTTGCACGTGTCTTCGCAGTCCACTTTTTATTGCTCTCTTGGTTGGGTTGGGACTCTGGACCCAGCATAATGTCGCAGGTTCTCCCCAGATTCCAGTTCTGAGGAAGAGAAGAAACCCCCAGCTAAGGCAGTGGTCTCTAAAGCAACCCCTAAACCAGCTCCAGCAAAGAAGCCAGCCGAGAGCTCTTCAGACAGCTCGGGTAAGGCACAAAGAGGCCCTCAACTTCTTGGACAGTGGCTGCAGTGCTCCCCTGTGTCAGACGTGGGCAGCTGTTGATTCTGTCCTCTCTCTGTCTAGACTCCGACAGCTCTGAGGAGGAAGCTCCTTCCAAGCCAGCCAGCACCACCAAAAATCCCCCGAGTAAGCCGGCTACCACTGCCAAGTCACCTGCAGCTAAGTCAGCTGCAGCTCCCAAGCCAGCTGCAGGCAGTGGCCAGAAGCCGCTAACAAGAAAGCCTGACAGCAGCTCCAGCGAGGAGGAGAGCAGCTCCAGCGAGGAGGGGAAGACAAAGCTGGTGGCTGCCCCCAAGTCCAAGGGCACTGCCAAGGCAGCCTCCTCTCTGCCTGCCAAACAGCCTGCTCCGGGTGGTAAGGACAGCAGCTCTGACTCAGACAGCTCCAGCAGTGAGGAGGAGGAGGAGGACGAGAAGACAGCCAAGCCCCCAGCCAAGAAGCGTCCAAAGGTAGGGGGAGGCCCAGCCCCTTCTACACCGGCCTCCACAAGGAAGGCAAAGGCCAAGAGCAGCAGCAGCAGCTCCTCCTCAGACGATTCTAGCGAGGAAGAAGAGGAGGAGAAGCCCAAGGGCAAGGGCATGACAAGGTCGCAAGCCCCCAAGGCCAACGGCACCTCTGCGCCAGCTGCCCAGAACGGCAAAGCAGCCAGGGACTGCGAGCAGGAGGAGGAGGAGGAGCAGGTGGCGGCGGCGGCGGCCACTTCCAAGCCTGGTCTGTGTTCTGAACCTGCCCTGGGCTGTGCCCCAGCAAGTTGGGATGGGCTGCACTCCTCGGGAATCTAGGGAGGACTGAGCTGGTCCCTGAGTCTGGTTTTGTTCTGTGGGTTCAGGAAAGAAGAGGAAGCAGAAGGAGGCTGCCAGGGAGGCAGAGACGCCTCACGTGAAGAAGGTCAAGCTCCAGACCCCCAACACATTTCCAAAAAGGAAGAAAGTAAGTTGCCTCCCTTCCTCTCAGGAGCCACCTCTACAAGCAGAAAGCCTTGGCTAGATGTGGTGACTCGCACCTGAAATTCCAGCACTTTGGAAGGCTGAGGTGGTAGGACCGCTTGAGTCCAGGAGTTTGAGACCAGCCTGGGCAACATAGTATGACCTCGTCTCTACAAACATCAGAAAATTAGCCGGGCGTGGTGGCGCACACCTGTAGACCCAGCTACTAGGAGGCCGAGGTGGAGGGATTGCCTGAGAAAACCAAGTCTGGGATCCTCTCGGCAGCCCTGCCGATGTGGTCTGGCACGTGGGCACACCTGGGTCGTCCAGGAGCCGTTGCCTGACCCTCCATCCTTCTCCAGGGAGAAAAAAGGGCCTCATCCCCTTTCCGGAGGGTCAGGGAGGAGGAAGTCGAGGTGGACTCCCGAGTGGCAGACAATTCCTTTGATGCCAAGGTGAGACAAGGCGCATGCCCGGGGGTGGAGCAGGGGCAGCTTTCGGTTTGGGTTTGGGGTGCCCTCTGGGTCCTGGCTGCCTGGAGCGCGGAGAAGGAAGGTGGCCGCCGGCCCGGCGCTGTGCCTGCGTCCTAACCACCCCTCCTTGCCAGCGCGGGGCGGCTGGAGACTGGGGAGAGCGAGCCAATCAGGTTCTGAAGTTCACCAAAGGCAAGTCCTTCCGGCACGAGAAGACCAAGAAGAAACGGGGCAGCTACCGGGGAGGCTCCATCTCCGTCCAGGTCAATTCCATCAAGTTTGACAGCGAGTGACCCAGCGCTGGCCGTGTGAAGCGGGAGGGCTCCGCGCCCGCCCACCCTCCCCGGTGGACCTGGAGCCCTGCGCTCCGGGGGGAGGGCCTTGGGGTGGCGGGCGCCCAGAGCAGGCCCTGAGGCTCCCCGGTGTGGCCCCCCTCTGGCCGCTGCTGTGTGGTTTGTTTCTGGGACTGAGTCGTGGGGACAAGGTAAGGGGAGTGTCATTTTAAGAGAGCTCTTTTTCATTGTCCCCTTCTTCCGGCTCCCGGGTGGCCTCGTACTGAGAAGTTTGTACATTTGATATTAAATCATTTCCTATTGGTTTTGTCGTGATTTTCAGAGGTGGATTCCCCAGGTAAAGTCCTAGCTGTGCCCAAGACATAGTCAAGGGATGCGTGTGTGAGCTTTTGTCGTTGGAGGATTCTGCCTTCGTGGCGCACAAGTCCGCGTTTCCTCCGTCCTTGCAGAGCCATGGAGAGGGCCGCTCGTGTGGTCAGTGAGTGCAGGTGTCTGCTGAGCGTGGCCGTCCTCGGTACACGGGGTCTGGGCCCGAAGCTCCTGGCCAGCATGGACCTTGCTTGCTGGGAGAACTGTTCTGTCGCAGGCAGTGTCCTGGTGTGGCGTGAATGCTGTGGGTCGGCCTGAGTGTGTTTCTTCTGTAATTTTATCATTCTTACATGATGCTTGTAATACATGCTTTGTTTTTTAATTTGAAAACTTTTCTACTGTTGAGTACTAAGTTGGGGACTGCATCTTGTTTTCTACGTGAAAGAGAACAGTAACATTAATTTGACAGATACATATCACTTAGTAGTTCTGTCTTGGTAACAGTGGAATTGTTCTCATTAATTCCTACGTGGTTGGGAATCTCTGATCAAGACCAAAAAAAGCCTTACAAACCTCAGTCCTCGGCAGGAAGTGGGTTGCATTTGGAGGATTTATGGGTCACTGATATGTGTGCCTATGGAAAAGGAAAAACCTTTGGAAGCATCCTATCCAGTCTCCTTGAGCAGGCTTGGAAGGACCACCTTCCAGGCAGGGCCGTTGTGTCTCGTAGCTGGTGCATGGGAGCAGCGGACACGCCCCTTCTGCCTCTACCGTTAGCCCGGGTGGAACCGTCCACAGCACACGCCGGTGACATATGGGGCTCCTGGCTGTGCTGGCCAACCAGGGCCGCGGGAGCTTCCCAGCGTCAGAGCCCAGCCAGACCATGATGGGAGGGAAGGTGGACAGGCTTCCTGGAGGCCACACTGTGCTGGGGGGCTCTCACGGGTGAGGGACGGGCCTTAAGCCGAGCCCCCCTTGTTGCCACGCTCCGAAAGTAGCCTGACAAGAACCTGGTCCTCCCTGTGACTGCCTCTAGGACAAAAGCACGCTGCCCGTGCCGACAGGAACTTGTCTGCAAGGTAGAAGCCCTACATCTCACTATAGAATAATAAACTGGCTGGCTTCTCATGTCGTGTGAGTTTTATTACCGCGAGTCCAGACCCTTCCTGCCTCCTCCCCAAAGCCCAACAAGTGGGTGCCAGGTGGAGGCCAGGATGCTGGCCGGGGAGCAGTGGGCAGAAGCTTCTTGGCAACAGCTTGTCTTGTGCCTCCTCCGGCCTGTTCCGGCCTCGGCGTGGTCTACGTCAGGCTGGCAGAGTGGCCCATGGGCCAAGTCCAGCCCCTGGCTGGCTTATGCATTATCCAGACACTGACAGTGGTTTTTACTTTTTTTTCTTTTTTTGAGTTGGAGTCTCTGTCCAGGCTGGAGTGCAGTGGCACATTTACGACCACTGTAGCCTCGACCTGCTGGGACAAGCGATGCTTCGCCTCAGCCTTCCAAGCAGTTAGGACCACAGGCAGGCTCTACCATGCCCAGCCAGCTTTTTAATAATGAGAGACTAGGTCTTGCCATGTCTCGACTCAAGCCCGCGAGCTCGGGCAGTCATCTCGCCTTCACCTCCCGAAGTGCTGAGATGACAGGTGTGTGCCACCACGCCCAGCTGTTTTTGTGGAGACCAGGTCTCACCAAGGTGCCCAGGCTGGTCTCAAAACCCTGGACTCACGCAGTCCTCTCTTGGCCTCCCAAAGTGCTGGGATTACAGGTAAGCCACCATGCCCCATCTCTTTTTTCATTTTCTAAAATGTTATTGTAGAGAGTTTTTATTTTTCAGTCTGTCATCCAGGCTGGAGTACAGTGGCATGTTCAGGCCACTACATCCTCGACCTGCTTGGCTCAGGTGAGCCATCTCAGCCTTCCACATAGCTGGAACAACAGGTGTGCGCCACCACACCTGGCTAATTTTTTCATTTATTGTAGAGACAAGGTCTCACCAAGTTGCTCAGACTAGTCTCTAACCCCTGGGTTTGACAATCCTCTTGCCTCGGCCTCTCAAAAAGCTGGGATTACAGGCTTGAGCCACCACACCCAGCCATCTGTATATATAGGAGATATTCCTAAAAATGATTGCTGGTTCCAAGGTTGTGCGTTTTTTGTTTTTTGTGGAAAAGCAGAATTTATTGAGAAGACAGAAAAGCTCCCACAGTGGGAGGGGACCCAAAGGGGTTGCCTCTTCTGTTTTTAAAGTGGGATTTATTGAGAACAGAAAAGCTGCCACAGTGGGGACCCCAAGGAGGCTGCCCAGTTGTACGCACGTAATGTTTCAGTCACTCTCGCCCTCTGAGGCCGTTGCGTTTCCTTGCAGTCCCAGCAGCAATTTATGGAAGTGCCACTATGTGTGTCCTCTTGCCAAAATTTCACCAGATCTTTGCTATTTGGATCAATGAAAGTGCTCTCAGGCATGGTGGTTCTTGGAAGGCTGAGGTGGCTGTGCGTGTGCCCCTGCACTCTGGCCTGGGCAACAGAGTGAGACTCCCACTCAAAAAAGAAAAAATGCGCTTTTTTTATTGTTTTATAGTGGAAAAACATTAAATTGGCCATCTCGGCCATTTTTAAGTGTGCTGTTCAGTGTATCAAGTATATTCACATTGTGTAACAGACCTCTGGGACATCTTCATCTAGTAAAATGGAAACTCCATTAAATGCCAGTATCCCCTCCCAACACCCTGGCCGCTGCCTTTCTACTCTGTGGTTTTGACTTTTTTTTGTTGTTGAGTTGGAGTCGCACTGTGTTGCCCAGACTGGAGTGCAGTGGCATGCTCCTGGCCACCGCAGCCTTAACTCGCTGGGCTTCCAGTGATCCTTCTGCCTCAGCCTTCCAAGTAGCCAGAACTACAGGCGCGCTACCACACCTGGCTAATTTTTTTGATTTATTGTAGAGATGAGGTCTCGCCAAGTTGCCCAGGTGGGTCTCGAACCCGTGGGCTCAGACAATTCACTCACCTCGACCTCCCAAAGCTTGAGATTACAGGTTGAGCCACTGAGCCCAGGTGGTTTTGACTCTTAAACTTGGTGAGTGGAATTTAATAGTGCAGTTGCTGGGCGCAGTGACTCAAGCCTGCAATCCTAGCACTGTGGGAGGTGGAGGCAAGAGAATTCTCTGAGTCTAGTTGTTCAAGACCAGCCTGGGCAACTTGGCAAGACCTCATCTCTACAATAAATCCAAAAAATTTAGCTGGGTGGGAGTGGTGGCACACGTGCCTGTGTTTTCAGCTACTTGGAAGGCTGAGGCGGAAGGATCGCTGGAGCCCAGCAGGTCAAGGCTGCGGTGGCCATGAGCATGCCCCTGCAGTCCAGCCCGGACAACAAACAGACTCCGACTCAAAAAAAAAAAAGTTGGCTGGGCACAGTGGCTCACGCCTATAGTCCCAGCACTTTGGGAGGCCGAGGTGAGAGGAGTGCCCGAGCCCACAGGTTCGAGATTAGCCCGGGCAACACAGCAAAACCTCGTCTCTACAATAAACCAAAAATGATCCGGGTGTGGCAGCGCACACCTGTAGTTCCAGCTCCTTGAAAGACTGAGGCGGAAGGATCGGCGGAGCCCAGCAGGCGAGGCTGCGGTGACCGTGAACGTGCCACTGCACTCCAGCCTGAGTGACAGAGTGAGACCCCAACTCAACCCAAACTAAAAAACCCTGACATATATCCAGTGTATTCTCCTTAAAATAGCTGAGTAATTTGTGAGCTTGCCGCTTCCTGTTTAAAGCTATTGCTTGCTTGCCGTTGCTTTGCGTTTTATAAACACCACCTTTCCCAATGTCATTTGCTGTTTCTGGCAGCCCACTCCTAGACGCTGTGAGCTGTTCCATACATGTGTGAGCAGTTCTGCAGGTTGTCTGCTGGCCTCCACCGGGAGGCCTGGCCTCTCCGAGTCTGGCTTCTCCCATCTGTAGATGCCAACTACCTTTGGGGGTTATTGCGAGCACTGCGATCTCCTAAAGCACTTCTCACGGTCCCTGGCATGTCATAAACACTGCGGAAACTGCTTCTTGCTCCATGAAAGGGATCTGGGAAATGCCATTCCTTGGTATCCTCGTCATGTGCGACAAAACCAACTCAGCAAAGCCTCAAGCGTTTGTTAGTGTTCACATCCCCGCAGTTGGTTTTGGTTGTTTTACGTTTGATTGTCGTCTTCATGATGCAAAAATTGATGCTTGGGATTGCTCCTACCAGACTGGTTTAGAGAAGGATCTGGAATTCCCGCTCCTTGATGACAGGCTCTGGCACTGGCCCCTGTGAGAGTGGAAGGGCCCACGGCGCAGGCCAGCCCCGCTGCAGCGGCGTCCTGGGCCCGAGGCGGGAGCTCTCCAACCCCTCCTGCGGGGTTGTCCTTCACCTCATTGTGACCCGCTAGGTGGGTGTTAACTAGACCGGGCTTTCTCCGCCTCGGCCACCGTTGGCCACCATTGATGCGTCTGAGCTGGGGGACTGCCAAGTGGGATGGGACGCGTAGCAACAGCCCTGACCTCTGCCTGCCATGTGCCGATGGCGGCTCCTCCAGATGTGGCCAGATCTCTCCCGGGAAGCAAAATCGCCCCTAGTTGAGCACTCTGGGACAACAGCTCAGAGTATCCAGGATGTGCCCGATACAACTGCAGCCTAGTGGCCCTTTGAGACAAGGCCCCAGGTGCCTTAGGCCCCAAACTGGCCTGTATGCGGTGAGTGCCGCGGTGTGGCCGTCAGAATCCCAGAGAGCCCAGTGTCCGCGGTGGGGAGGAGGCAGCATGGGAACTGCTTCTGTACTCCAGCCGCATTCTGCCAGAGTAGCACCCCTCAGGGGTCATGCAAGAAAAGACCTGGCAGGCTGGGTGCGGAGGCTCACACCTGTCATCCCAGCACTTTGGGAGGCCGAGGCGAAAGGACTGTCTGAACCCACGGGTTCGAGACCAGCCTGGGCAGCTTGGCAAGACCTCATCTCTACAATAAATCAAAAATTAGCCCCACGTGGTGGCACACAGGTAGCGTGAAGTCCCCGCTACTTGGAAGGCTAAGGCGGGAGGATCGCTGGAGCCCAGCGGGTGGAGGCTGCGGTGGTCGGGAGCGTGCCTCTGCACTCCAACCTGGGAGACAGGGCGACTCCGACTCCAAATGACAAAAAAAAGAAAGAAACGACCTGGCTGACTTCGCAGAGGCTTCGGAAGAGAGTCACCGTTGGGAAGAAAGGGACAGACCGTGGGAGGAGGGAGAAAAACCCGCGGGTGGGAAGCGGGGGCCTCGGGGTGCATCGGTTGGGCAGAATCATGCTAGATTTGGCGGAGGGCTCGGTGGCCACGGCCTTCTGTGCCCAAGTCGGGAGTTTGCGCCTCATGCCGTCCGCCTGGGTGTGCAGGGAAGACGGCCCAGGGCACAGCCGCGCTCCTGCAAACCAAGTTCCCAGGCCCTCCGCGGAGCCGGCGGGCGCTGTGTGCGGTTCCCGAGGGGGCCAGTAGGTGGGGCTCCTGCCCACGGGCGGGAGCCAGGCCGGCTCCACGTGCTCTTGACTCCTGACTCCGGTTCCTTTCAACAAACTTGGACAGCCTGCTGCGAGCCCTCAGATGTCTAAACGAAGACAGGCCCACAGCCGAGACCCGAGACTCCTTGGTGTTGGAGAGTGGAGAGGAGGCTCCCCGTCTCCGCGTGGCTATCTGGGAGAGGCCACCCGTTACCTGCAAGCCAGCGGCGGGCAGCGTGGCTTGTAGCGCCAGAGTGATGCTCACCACGGAGTCCCCCACTCCCTGCGGGTCCTGACAGGGCCATGGGCTCCTGCAATGGGCCGGCACAGGCCCACTGCTCATAGAAATTGCAGAGCAGGTTGGGTGCGGTGGCTCACGCCTGTGATCCCATGACTAGGCCAAGATGGGAGCAGCGCTGGAGCCCAGGGGTTTGAGACCAGCCTGGGCAACCTAGCAAGACCCCCTCTCCCCAGCTCCAGTCTCCTCAAAAAAATAAATAAGCCGGGCTCAGTGGCTCAGCCTGTAATCCCGCGCCTTTGGGAGGCTGAGTTGAGTGGATTGCCCGAGCCTGCGGGTTCGAGACCCGCCTGGGCAACTTGGCGAGACCATATCTCTACAATAAATCAAAAATCAGCCGG